TTATTCGGTATTCGATGAATAACAAAAAAAAATGTCGAGTAATGTCGAATACCAAATAATAGTGAGTATTCGTGGCAACTCTAGTATATATATAGTGCTGCTTGTAGGGACTGGTCTGCTCTTATCACTACGACTGATTTAATCTTATTGTGTTTTTATATTTGACACTAAATAAATTAGTGCTGGTTGGTAGTTTGTATTCACACGTTTCGACTTGTAAATGTAAACTTACAAGGATTATTTAAAAGAGCAACACACAAGTTTCTTGCTTATTCTTCTTGTGATGAGACAGCTTTACGAATAAGCGGTAGATTTAAAAAAATGTTGACTATTCAAGAGTGCTTAAATTAAGTTTATTTGAATAAATTATTTTACTATTCTATTCTATATTATAGTGCTGTATAAGCTATATTACTATAAAGTTCCATCAAAATCCGTTCAGTAACTTTTGCATGAAAGAGTAACAAACATCCATCCATACTCACAATCTTTCGCGTTTATAATATTAAGAAGATTTATACTTATGACATTGTACGTTGTACTTTATATCAAATCTTATATTAAACAATTTTTGTGTAAGAAAGCCTATTACATGATATACGAATTCATAGACGACAACGTATCAAGTAAGTAATTAGTTTATTAGCATACAACGTTATAATTTGTTTATCTCATTGCTTTCTTGATTTAATTATTTTAGAAATATGAAAGCGTAGCGGTTTTTGTATTGATTGCCGCATGCATTCTTATGTGAAATGTGAATACTATAACTATCAGATGGCAATTGTGAGCAGCTATGACGTGGTCTGGTGTTTTGAGTAGTCATGGTCACTACAATGTCCAGACTTGTGGCGGCGTGGTGGGCCGAGTCATTGTCTGTCTTATGACAAAAAGCTATAAATGTTGTTTATAAGGACATTCTGTAGTAGGTAGGTATATTTAATAATAGCATTGCACTCGTGTGAAGCCGGGCGGGTCGCTAGTTATTGTATACTAGCTGTTCCCGCGACTTCGTCCGCGTGGAACAGCTTTAGCTTTATTTTTCTAAAATAAAAGTAGCCTAAGTTACTCCTTATTACATCAGCTACCTGCCAAAAAAAGTTCTGTCAAAATCGGTCCAGCCATTTCAGAGATTAGCCGGAACAAACAGACCGACAGACAGACAGACAAAAATTATAGAAATTGTTATTTTGGTATATGTATATATATGCATGTAGTAAAAACGGTTATTTCAATATTACAAACAGACACTCCAATTTTATTTATATGTATAGATAATAGTCATATTACACGTTGTTTTTTGGAATAGAACAATTTCATGAAGTCGTGCAGGCTCAGTGGCGCGGACCAGTCATTGTGTTCCTGCAATTACAAGCCGACTCGTTTTCAGTCACGTGTGCGAATTTAATGGCGTTGTTATTGTTTTTTAAACCCCCGCCGGTGGGGGTGGACGTGAGGGGCAGGGGGTGGGGGAGGGGTTGTTGTACCATACTCGGCAAAATGAATTCGATCAGAGTTCAATCGAGTTTGCATGTAATGAATTAGATGTATATGGCAGTTGTTATAGTGATGTTATAACTAGGGATGTGCCTGATGTCCGTATCCGTATCCGTATACGCGGATATCCGAGAGAGAAGTATCATTAATTAATCATTTATGACATTTATATTAAACTAGCTGTATACGCGACTTCGTCCGCTTGGAATTTAACTTTATTTTTCTAAAGTAAAAGTAGCCTAAGTTACTCATTACATAAGCTACCTGCCAATAAAAGTCCCGTTAAAAACGGTCCAGCCATTTCAGAGATTAGCCGGAACAAACAGACAGACAGACAAAAATTGTAAAATATGTTATTTTGGTGTATGTACCGTATTTATATTCATATGCATGTAGTGAAAAGCGGTTATTTCACTATTACAAACAGACACTGCAATCTTATTTATATGTATAGATTTATATTTATTTCCAACAATAAAATTATATATATAAAAATCACAATCGAAATACATTACACCTATGGATACTAACAAAGAAGTTTTATTTTTTGTTACTCTTGATAATTTGTGAAACTAAACTACTTTTCATAAATACAAGAGGGACTTGATATAACGATCACAAAGATCAATGTAAAGAGTTTTATAAGAAAATCTATTTATAGTATGGGTTCCAGGGAGTCTTTACGAGAGTGCTTTAAGGAATCAAATATCCTCACCGTTGCTTCTCAATACATTTATGAAAATATCATCTATGCCAGGAAGAATATAGACAGTTTCAAAAGAGTTAGTGATTACACTAATAAAAGCTTACGTAACAATAACAAACTGATTTTACCTAAATGTGGTTTAACTAAAGTTAGTAATTCGTTTTATGGCAATTGCGTAAGGTTTTACAATAAAATACCAGAGTCTGTTATAAATCTGCCTGAAAAGAGATTTAAATGTCATATAAAATACTTCCTTTGCAAAAAAGTTTATTATAAAATTTAAGAATTCGTTAACGACAATAATGTTTTTATAGAAAAACTTAAAATCCATAGCACTGACAATATTATCTGATTACACTAATAATGAGTGCGTAGCGATTTCTATGTTGATTATCGCATGCCTCTTACTTGTTATACTGTAATTATTATATAAAAAAACATCTATTCAAAAGAGCAACACACAAGTTTCTTGCTCATTCTTCTTGTGATGAATCTGCATTCCGAATGAGTGGTAGAATCAAAATATAACTATTCAAAAGTGCTTGTAATGAGTTTATTTGAATAAAGATTATTTCTATTTCTATTTCAAAAATACACAAGAAAAGAAAAAAATGTACCATTTTGAATATAATAGTTGGTCCGTTGTACTTTGTGTGTACGCCCTCACTTTAAAATAATAAGGGTATAAGAATTTCATTAAAATGTCCGCCATTTTGTTTATTCAAACACATTCATTTATAGAATCCACAATGAAACATACAATACTGGCCATTTTGAAATTTTGCGGGAGGGAGCGAGACGCAAACATGTTTTTGTTTGTAAAGAAAGGGATGCATGCTGCTATTGAAATTGAATTTGAATTAATAAAGACATCTGCTTGAAAACGATATAGGCAGACGGTTTTTTGTCCGTCTGTGTGTAATGCGGTTATTTTGTTTACATTTGGTATTCAGAGAATAATTATTGTGTTTGTAAAGGGTATTTAAATGCAAACTTATTGGTACTTTTAAATTTGTTTTGTGTATTCACTTATAGATTTATAAATTATTAGCTGTTCCTGCGACTGCGTCCGCGTGGATTTTAACTTTATTTTTCTAAAACTAAAAGTAACCTAAGTTACTCCTTATTACATTAGCTACCCGCCAAAAATAGGCTCGTCAAAATCGGTCCAGCCATTTCACAGATTAGCCGGAACAAACAGACTGAAAGACACAAATTGTAAAAAATGTTATTTCGGTGTATGTACCGTATTTATATTCATATGCATACTATGTAATGATAGATACTAGCTATTTCCTGCGATTTTCTTCGCATGGAATCTTTTTTTATTATGAAGATAAATAAAATGTCTAAAACAGTTACAGTTACAGTATAGTACGCGTAGGCAAATTGCTACCGCGTAGCAATACGGCTACGCAGCTACGATGCTACGGAGTATAGCTAAAACACCTGGCGTTACGTCGTACATGTGAAATAATCAAATTATTATGTACTGATACACACATCTGTTGTCATCATCTGTATGTCTGTTTGTTCTTGCTATAATCTCTGAAACGAGTGGACCGATTTTGACGGGACCTTCACTCGCAGATAGCTAATATTATAAGGAGTAATCTTATCCTACTTTTATTTTAGAAATTTTATGTATTATAAGAAAAAAATGCAATTTCAATTCTATACGAGCGAAGTGTCGGGTAATAGTTAGTATGTAATAAACATATAAGAGTAATGGAACACCATATCATTACCTCTACAATGAATACGTCGCGCCGTGAGCGTGCCGATGTTCGGTGATGATTTACGCGTCTGTTTATAACACTGGCCGGTGGCGGGAACAAAAGCAGCATTGTACTGACCAACGACGATGTCACGCCGCGCTGCGTTGCAAATGATATACACACGCAATTATGACGCTCTCTTGGTGATGGGAATGTAGTTATTTGTATAGACTAGCGACCCGCTCTGACTTTGTACGGGTAAAATAGTAATTAATATCGCAGGACAATTCACACAGCGCCATCTAGTTTGATTTCTCTTTTCTTACCTCGTCAGTCCCAGATACAACTTTTAGATTTCTACATACGTCTACAGTATGTGCTCAGTTCGTTTTATTAGTATAGGTTTATTTAGTACTAGCTGTACTCGCGACTTCGCCCGCGTGGAATCTAACTTTATTTTTCTAAAATAAAAGTAGCCTAAGTTACTCCTTATTACATCAGCTACCTGCCAAAAAAAGTCCCATCAAAATTGGTTCAGCTATTTCAGAGATTAGCCGGAACAAACAGACAGACAGACAGACAAAAATTGTAATAAATGTTATTTTGGTGTATATACCGTATTTATATTCATATGCATGTGGTAAAAACGGTTATTTCAATATTACAAACAGACACTCCAATTTTACTTATATGTATAGATATATTTTTGGTATTAAGTATTAGTTAAGTATCCTGAGTGGGTTGCGTATTCATTTTTGCGGCACTTTCTTTTATTTGTACATATTTTTCTGTTTCTGTCTGTCCGTCCCTATATAAGCTTAAATTTTTAAAACTACGCAACGGATTTTAAAGCGTTTTTTTTAGTGATTCAAGAGGAAGGTTTATATATATAATACATGTACACTCGTGCGAAGCCGGGGCGAGTGGCTAGTAATATTATAAATGAGAAAGTAGTGTATGTTACTCTTTCACGCAAAACTCACACCTCACATACATATGTTATGTATTTGCAATTAGTCAATACAGAATATGTCTGTTTATCTGACTGTATTATTAAATTTATTTTCTTTTGTCAACAGTTCAAAAACGCGCTCGAATCACCGAGGTATGCTCAAGTCCCTCACCACCTACAGAGCAGCAACCACAGGAATCAAAGACCCCAGTCCCCACGCCGCCCCTCGCGACGCCTCCACCACGCTCTCCCTCCGACCACGAGCTAAACGTAGAAGAAGAACTAGAAGACCAATCAGAGACGTCACTAACGCCCGAAAACCTCTCTATGAAAGAGGCCAGAACTGAAGACACGCCCGTCAAGAAGGAAGACGACGAGAAATGGGAGAATCCAGATTTTAAATACAAAATGTTCAGACGTGACAGAAAGCCTGAATCTGCGGCTGAACCTGTACAAGAAGACTCACATCCTTACCAGAAGTCTCCAGTAGATGTATTGATCAAAGTGTTTCCGAGGCGGAGTCGAGCGGAGATAGAGACGATCCTCGCTAGATGCAAGGGAGATGTCGTAGCTGCTATGGACATGATGCTAAACGGGACAGACAATACATCCTACAATGTAACTCAAGAATCGCCGCCGTATTTGCAAAATTATCAGTCAAAATCTGCTTTCTCACCGTTGTCGAACCAAAGCTTCAAGTTTTCTCCTTCTAGAAGATTCCTGACGCCTCCTTATAGTGGCACTGGGTATCTACCGACGGTGATACGACCTCCGCCGGACTATTTGTCGTCTTTCATGCCGCCAGCTGAGTTGATGTACGGGAGACAACTCCAGGTACCCTCGCCTGGCACTTCACCTACGTCTGATAACACGAATAATGAGGGCTTCTCTGATTAGGGGTACCTGAAATATTGGACCGTTTTGTAATAGTTGGACGTTTTGATTGTTGGAGTAGAGCTGCAGTGTGTTAGATATAGTTTTGTAAATAAATATTTATATTGTCAGGACATTAATACTTACATTTTAATATGGAATGGTACGCTGTAAAAATCACTTGAAACTGGTCAAAATATTTAAAGCAGTTAAGAATTAACAGCGAATAAGAAATTGTTTGCGTAGTATATAATTGTATTGATATTAAATTTATAGATATTTTCTGGTCTACTTGAACCTCTAGTAACAATCCGTTAAATGTATAAGTCCGGTATACGGTCCGGTTGTCTAGTGGTTTAGCACACCGCCTCACTTCCGATGGTTGCGGGTTCGATTCCTCGCAAAGCACAAATATTTCTATGTATGAGTACGATTGTTTGTATCGGTCTGGGTGTTTTCTATATATAATATGTATGTATTTACAAAAACAAATATTTATGTATTTGTATCACTTATCTAGTACCCATAACACGAGCTTCAGCTAGCTTAACTTAAGTCTAGATGGCGCTGTGTGAATTGTCCTGAGATTATTATATATAATTCTTTTTAAAAATTCTAATAAGTATAAAATTCGAAATTATACTCAGTTTTATATTAAATAAATCAATTATACTAATCATGAAACAATTCTCACGTAACACACCGCCATTTTTGTTGCTTTTTTTTTAAATTATTTTCACATAACCTCAAATGGATTGAGGTTGAAAATCAGTGTTTTGTTCTCTGAGCAATCTGCTATACTGAGTTTCTGATATTTTTGTGTTATCCCGAATCACATTTAACGACATAAATATCCCAAATTACTCTTAAATAGAGCTATGTTTTGTTGATATTTATACAAGTATAATTGTGTGATTGGTGATGATCAAAAAAACTATATATCTATCTACCCTCCGGTTTCGCACGGTTGTACATATATTATACATATAAATCTTCCTCCTGAATCACTCTATCTATTAATAAAACCGCTTCAAAATCCGCGTAGTATTAAACATTTAAGCATACATATTGACGGACAGACAGCGACAACGACTTCGTTTTATACTATGTATAAGATCTAACATTATGGATCAAGATATTTCTATTAAAAATGAAAATCCGTTTCGTTACAACAACCTCATTTCCACATAGCAATTTGTAAAATTGGATTAAACGTGGTATGTTGAGTTTTACGTTAATTTTTTATGGATATTTGTTTAAAAAAATATTTTGTCTAAATTACAAGCTTGCTTTAATTTGCAGTGACTACGAGACAAAGTTACTGTCATTTCTTACTTGTTGCAGTAGTCTCATTACGAAAGACTTGTTTCCTATTAAGAACGATAGACAGAATGTATTTAAATAAAAATCATAATACTCTAAAAAAATCGCTTCTTGCTAGTTCTTCTCAATTGTATCTATATACAGAAATGGACGGTAGGGAAAAAAATTAAAATTAAAATGTATACAACTTGACGTATATAAGCGTTTAAAATGTCCTACACGAATAAATGATTTATGAATTTGAATATTAAAACTCTTTGTCGTTCTTATGAGGATAAATAAAAAAAAATCATCTGTTAGACAGTATTTCATAAAAATTCATTTTATAGCATGTTTGCAACGAATTTCATAATCTATTTAACAAATATAATTTTTAAAAATGTCTTTATTTAATTGTAATTTTAAAACTAATGTTAAAATTTTATGAGCGATGACTATCGAATTGTGTTTAGGCTCTTAATTGTGACCTTAGTTAGAACTGAACTCCTGTTTATGAATCTACTAGCTACTCACCCCGGCTTCGCACGGGTATACATGTATTATATATATAAACCTTCATCTAGAATCACTCTATCTATTAAAAAAACCGCTTCAAAATTCGTTACGTAGTTTTAAAGATTTAAGCATACATAGGAACGGACCGACAGCGACTTTCTTTTTATACTATGTAATGATTTTTCATATTCCCATAGAAATTTGTCAAGTAAATGAATGGTTGGTATATATAAACAATAACTAATATTATAAACGCGAAAGTATGTGAGTATGGATGGATGTCTGTTACTCTTTCACACAAAAACTACTTAACGGATTTTGATAAAACTTTACAGTAATATAGTTTATACATCAGAATAACATATAGGCTATACATTTTACGCGGGTGAAGCCACAGTACAGGTAATATTTAATAATTTAAATCAAAAACGCCAAAATACAAGTTCCATCGAACGTCGAAAATTTTTACAAACTTTGAATGTCTTATTTATTTACAGTTAATCAACAGCCTAAAATATAAGTATCTATCAAGTCATCAGAATAACATATGAACTATAAATTTTATGCGGACAAAACCGCGGTCACGGTTAGTATTATATATTTTAGCAACTGATGCTCGCTAGAATCATATTTGATAATCAACAAAGTGATAATTGTAGATTTCCTAGAGTTACGAGTGAAATACGACTGTATTATTCTGGAAATTTACCCAATTTCTTTCAATTTGTAGTAATGTAAGTAGTTATAAAAAACCAAATAAATATTTTAGTGTCAATAATAATAGTTTAGTTAGTAAGTATAGTTTTGTATCGTGTACATATTTAGAATTATCCATTTTAATACATAATAGTTGATCAGTATACGGAATTATACATAATGTAGTTAATTTTAGTGGTAACATATTAAGATGGAATAACGTTGGTTCTTACAATTTTTCTTTCGGACTACTCTAATGCTGTTGGCCGCAGCTGGCCTTTATAGCTTCATCGGACGATAGGGGGCGAGTGCAGAGGGCACTCCAAACCAAAGGAAGGACTTATGGAGCGGCTGAAGGCCAACTCCCGCCTGACGGATACGACTGTAGTGGTTGGCCATTACAGCTGTATCGGACGATAGGGGGCGAGTGCAGATGGCACTCCAAACCAAAGGAAGGACTTATGGAGCGGCTGAAGGCCAACTCCCGCCTGACGGATACGAGTTTAGTAGGCACTGCTAGGGTTAGAACCTCGGCTCAGACCGTCGTAATTTCGATCCCCGTTTGGATTGGACGGGGATCGATCGGAGGGGTCATACGACACTTAGAAAATAGGTAGAAGTGTGTAGTGCGTCTAACGCTATACCAATTGTATATATATTGTAATTTAAGTGACAAACCGATACCTTGACATACGTAATTTTATATTACCTTTCTATAGGTTTAATATCCCATTTTTTAGGATATTGTTTTAGGAGTCTTTCAACATTTAGAATCAAAATTCTAAATTATTTTTATGTAAGAATTAATTATGTTTTTGTAGATAGTCTAGTTTCAAAATAATCTGAAGTGTCTAGTGTTCAAATAGTTACGGTAATTGTAAATATTGTGTAGTTGATGCTTAACCGATAATAATGAGATTATAATTAATGTAAAATATTATGTAATGAACAATAATGTACGTGCTCAATAAAATGAATCATCAGTCAACATTTTTTTTTAATTTTCTGTCCATCCATCCATTCTTCCTTACGTCTTCAGAACTTAAACTGCTGATAAAGTCTATGCGATAACAGTCCTGACTCTACATACATATACATTTTTTTTTGGGATTTTTGTACACAAAATGTGACGATGATAATCCACTATCAATCAACTAGGTAAATAAACAATCAATTAACTTAAGAAATTTAAACTAATGTGATATCTTTTAGAAAAATCTCTTGGCTGCATCGGTAGCTGTCTCTACCAATATTTCATGGAATAAAAAAAAAATGGGAATTTTTTTTAGAATTTTAGGAATTAATGTAAGTAAGTGGATTCAAGCAAATATTGCATCTACTTACCTGAATTTATGTGATTTGCACAATCTTTTTCTAGAACTCTCTAGGGTCGCAAGAAATTTCGCCACTTGTACAGATAATGTTTGCTGTAATTGTGAAGACGAAAAATTTGTTTGTTCAATTAATAAAAATATTTAGAAATAGAAATAGAAATAGAAATAGAAATAATCTTTATTCAAATAAACTCATTACAAGCACTTTTGAATAGTCATATTTTGATTCTACCACTCATTCGGAATGCAGATTCATCACAAGAAGAATGAGCAAGAAACTTGTGTGTTGCTCTTTTTAATAGATGTTTTTTTTTATATAAATAATTACAGTATAACAAGTAAGAGGCATGCGATAATCAACATAGAGGTCGCTACGCACTCATTATTAATGTAATCAGATAATATTGCCAGTGCTATAGATTTAAAGTTTTTCTATAAAAACATTATTATCGTTAACGAATTCTTCAATTTTATAGTAAGCTTTTTTGCAAAGGAACTGTTTTATTTGACATTTAAATCTTTTTTCTGGCAAATTTATAACAGACTCTGGTATTTTATTGTAAAACCTTACGCAATTGCCATAAAACGAATTACTAACTTTAGCCAAACGATATTTAGGTAAAATCAGTTTGTTATTGTTACGTAAGCTTTTATTAGTGCAATCACTAACTCTTTTGAAACTGTCTATATTCCTTCTGGCATAGATGATATTTTCATAAATGTATTGAGAAGCAACGGTGAGGATATTTGATTCCTTAAAACACTCTCGCAATGACTCCCTGGAACCCATACCATAAATGGAGCGAATGGCCCTCTTTTGTAAAGTAAATATTGTATTTATATCAGCTGCTTTGCCTCATAACAAAATACCATACGACATAATGCTATGGAAATAGCTAAAATAGACAAGTTTAGCCGTTGCCACGTCTGTTAATTGTCTAATTCTTCTTACCGCATAAGCGGCAGAACTAAGTCGACTCGCCAATTTAGTAATATGAGCACCCCATTGCAACTTGGAATCTAATGTGATACCTAGAAATACAGTATCGTCAACAAAATTAATAGATTTATTGTCCAATACGATTTTTGAATCTACCGGCCTTACATTGGGGAGAGTAAATTTGATACATTTAGTTTTATTTGCATTTAGTAGCATATTATTTGCCGTAAACCATTTTAAAACATAAGAGAGAGAACCGTTTACTTCGTCCATATCATCAATATGTCGATTGACTTTGAATACTAATGAAGTATCATCAGCAAACAGAACTATATCAGCTATTTTTTCTACCATATAAGGAAGATCGTTTATGTAAACTAAAAATAAGAAAGGACCCAGAATAGAGCCCTGAGGAACACCCATTTTAATACTAGTTCCCTCAGACTTTACACCATTTATTTCAACAACTTGCATTCTATTATTTAGATAGGATTTCATCATGCATGCATTTATTTATTTATTCATTAAAACTTGCACAAATACGTAAATAAAAGTGCACATAGTGGACTTAACACCTTGAGGCATTTTCTCCCAGTCAACCATTGGGCAAACAGAGATTCATGTTGATGTCAA